GGCTTAAGTTAAATTGAGCCTGATTCCTAGTAAGTCCATGAATGACAGATTGATACTTTGATCCATGTGATCCACACACTCTCTGCCATAGTCAAGCTCACTACTGCAGTAACTGTGGGGCAACCATGGCCTTCAAACAGCCCACATTTCAAGCAGCCATCAAATGCTTAATCATTGCCCCTCCAAAACCCAGTTGTTGTTGTTTTTGTTTACAACTAATAAAAGGTGTAAAGCATATTCCTTCACTTATCTATCAGAAACACAAAGCAAAAATTCTAGTTTCTTTTTTTTAACATTTTAAAACAAGTATTTCTAATTCCTAATGAGTAAACTACAGAACTACAGCCTGTGTTCCCTTGTTTTCATATATCTGTTTAATACCCCATATTGTCTTTTTTTTAATGTAAATTTTTTTTATACTGATTTACTTACAAAGTTCGTATACATTGGTTTTTTTTTTTACACCAGATCTTTCTCATTTCCTTAACCCACCCCTCCCTCCACCCATCAAATTGTGCGACCGTATGATTACCATCCCCCTCCCATCCTCATCCCTGTGCTCCCATCCTCCTCCCCTTAGAGTCTCATACACATTTTACTAGTTATCTATTTCTGCAATAATAGTCTTATACGGCATGTATTCTTATGGGACTGAATTAGTTCACTCAGCATATTACTCTCCAGACCCTCCCAAGTTAGGTAGTAATTTACAAAATTATTGTTCTTTCGTGCTGCGTAGTATTCTAAGGTGTGAATGTACCATAATTTCTCAATCCATTTGATTGTGGTTGAACATCTGGGCTGTTTCCATGTTCTTGCGATGGTGAATAACACTGCTATGAACGTTGGTGTGCAAGTCTCTGTTTGTGCCTCAGTTCTCATTTTCTTGGGTATATTCCAAGCAGTGAAGTAGCTGTTGTTGTTGATTGTCTTTGAGTCAAGCATGACCCATAGCAACCCTATGAATAAAAGGCCTGAGGTCCCTCTACAACTATTGACATTTATCAAAGTTCATAGAGTTTCCAGAGTCATGTTGTTTAGGAAGTGGATGCCACTCCTGCTGGGTCATACGGAATTTCTATTTTCAGTTTTTCTAGGAAACACCAAGCTGTCTTCCAGAGTGACTGTACCATTTTACAATCCTACCAACAGCGTATACGAGTTCCTATCTCTCCACATTCTCTCCAACATTTAATACTTGCTGTCCTGTTAAACTTTGCTACTACTACTGGAGTGAGATGGTATCTCATTGTAGTTTTGATTTTTATCTTTCTTCTTGCCAGTGATTTTGAGCATTCCTTCATGTGTCTCTTGGCCATCTGAATTTCTTCCTCTGTGAAACTTAGGTTGTTTTTGACTCATGACAACCTCGTGTGGTGTTCATCAAACTGTATATCTTAACAGGAGGGAAGTCCTTCTTGAATGGAGCCACTACTGTTGATTGCCATCGAGTTGAGCTTGACTCATAGTGGCCCTATGAACAAAAGTCCGGAAGCCTTTCTATAACTATTGTCATTTATCAAAGTTCATAGAGTTTTCAGAGGTGTGTTGTTTAGGAAGTGGATGCCACTCCAAATGGCCAACAGTTGTGTTGGTAGCTAAGCATTTAACCTATAATGTCCCCAAGGCTTTTTACTGGGCCACCAGAACTCCTTATATCCTGAAAGACTAGGTTTTAAAGAAAACAAAAATTTTATTTAAAGAAAATTTGGGAACAACAATAGTATCCAGAAGCATTTTGGAATGGTACTGAGTCTTTCCTCCAACTGACAGTGCGTGATGATTGTTTTTGCCAATAATTAGGTCTTACAATATCAGCTCAAATGATATCTCCCGCGTCAAAACCACTACAAACCTTATTAATTTTTTTGTTGTGTTGTTGTTGTGTACTGTCTAGTCAGATCTTACTGGCATAGGAGAGTTCCCCTCCTTCTCCAGTGGAGCTTCTGGTGGATTCAAACCGCACGCCTTTGGGATTGCAGCACAGCTTCTTGCCACTAGGCCACCAGAGCTCCCTTCCCCCATTTTTATTGTTGTTGTTGGACACCTTATTAATTTTTGAGATTAATTTCAGATAATTTCTGAATCCTACAGCAATTAGGCCCAGATCATCTCTTTGAGAAGTATGTGACAGTGACTGAATAGCAGTTGTGATGCACTAAAAATCATACAATGATCCTTGACTAGATGTCTTGGTCCTCTAGAGGTAACTAGAAATTTGGGATGATGGACGAAATAATGCTATTTGCTACTTGTCTGGCTGAAGCACAGCTCAACTCCTGAAGTCAATGGCATTAGTCTGGAAAATGCATTCCATCTGCTATACCAGGCCAACTGTAATGCTAATAAATCAGAGAATTTCATAGAGGTAACATGTTGTATTAGAAAAGTCAGCAAACTGGAAAGTACATAAAACCTCAGCTTAGCTCTGCTAATAAATAACCATGAGCTGTGCAGTAAGCCACAAAAACTCACCGGTCCGTGGTTTCCTCATGCTGAAAATGAAGAATAAAGAGCAGCTTATCTTCAAACTACCGTCAAACCCAAAAAAAAGACACTGATGCTTATGGACTCTAAAATTAGTTCATGATATGGCAAAAAGAGTCTTTTAATTGACACCAAATAGATCCCAGGATGATAGCTGAGGAGAAAAGACATGATTTGGAGTTCTGAGCTCATGTCATGCCTGGCTTCGCTGTCGCCTTTCTCATCCCAAATAGGGCATTGTGAAGGTGAAAAACTCAGTGTGAATACTTGCAAGGAAACCATAAGGATAATGTACTTATATACTGAAGAATCCTAGGGATAAGAAGCTGTGCTGCAATCCCAAAGGCCATGGTTCGAAACCAGCTGTTCTACATAAGGAGGATGGGCAACCTCTTCCCACGGGACTTACTGACTCTAAAAACTCAGCAGATGGTCAGCCATGGGTCAGTTCTGACTCAAGGGCAAAACAACAGCTACAATTTACTAATATTACATTATTAATAGTTACACTGGGTCAAAAACTGCAGCCTTCAATATTTCTTGCATCTTAACATCAAGAAAACAAAGATCATCACCACCAGGTTAATGGGCTACATCATGATAGATGAGGAAAAGATTGAAGTTAACAATTTCATCTTGCTCAGATACATAATCAAAACCTTTGGCACCAGCAGTCAAGCAATCAAAAGACAAGTTGCACTGAGAAAATCTTCTGTCAGGGACCTCACCAGAGTTCTAAAGAGCAATGATCTCAGACTAGTGACTAAGGTGCACCTGACTCAGGCCAGGGTATTCGATACACGTGATATGCATCTAGAAACTGGACAATAATTAAGGATGACAAAAAAACAAATGATGTGGTTGAATTGTGGTGCTGAAGAAGAGTACTGAACATATACCATGACCTGCTGGAAAAACAAACAAGTCTGTCTTAGGGAGGATGAATCCAGGCTGCTCCTTGTAGACAAATATTTTGAAGCTCTGTCTCACATACTTTGGGCATGTTTCCAAAAGGGATCAGTCCTTGGAGAAGGACATCGTACCTGGAAGGGCAGAGGGTCAGCACAAGAGAGGAAGACCCTGGAGGAGATGAAGTGATGCGGTGACTGTGAAAGTGGGCTCAGATGTGTCAGAGACAGACAGTGAGCCTGGATCGGGGTAGGGCAAGTTTCAGAACTGTTGTACATAGTTACGAGTCACGGTCAACTTGACAGCACATAACAACAACAACAACAACATTTACACTGATACAGCACGAACAAACTGAGCCTGATCTAGAAAATCTGGCCATGTGGTTACTGCAATATCACACCAGTATAAACTGCATAAAGCATTATCTTACATAACAAAAAGTTTAGGTTCGTGACAACTCAAATCCAGACTTATCTTCATAGAATCGTGCGTTGTTGTCAAGTGCTGTCAAGCCAACTACAATACATCCCAACTGCATGAACAACAGACTGAAACCCTGTCTTACTCTGCGCCATTCTCAGTCTTACTGTTCAAGCCCACGGCTGCAGGCACTATGTCTATCCTCTCACTGGGGTGCTTCCTATTTTTCTGGAAAGCTCAATTTTCCCCAAAATGACTTTTTTCCCCCCTCTTCAACTGTTCAAGGGCTGGTTCCTCCTGATAACACACTTAAAGTATGCGACACTAAGTTTCACGGTCCTTGCCTGATTGAACGTACTCTAGCACGAATCTGTTTGTTCTCTAAGTAATCCACAATATATTTAGTACATTTTGCCAGTGTCCCAGTACAAAGGCATCTGGTCTTATCAGATCTTCTTCAGCATGTATAGGAAGCAACTGAAAATAGCCTGGCTTGAGTGAGGCAAGCTTAGTGTTTAAACTGACATCGTGGTTCTCGAGCACTTCCAAGACATCCTAGATAGCAGAGTTGCACAATAATATAACACGACTATTGATCTCTTGAATCCTGCTCCCATGAGTATTGGTTGTGGATCCAAGTAAAATGAAATCCTTGACAACTTCAATTTTTCGTCCATTTATCACGATGCTAATTGGTTCAGTTTCAAGGATTTTTGTTTACTTCATTTTAAGATGTAATCTATATTGAGGACTACATAGTCTTTGATCTTCTTTAGTAAGTGATATAAGAATAATGGAATGGGATGGGTGCTGTTCCATTTTGTTTTAGGGAAAGTTAGCAAGAGTTGCAGCCAACTCAAAGACAATCCAAAACTCAAAGACCAAAAAAGGCATCTCATGATGTTGTTATGTGCTGTCAAGTTGACTATGATTCATAACTATGAACAATGGCTCTGTGAGTCATAGGACACAATAAACTATTTTGCTTACTTTCGTTACAGTGAACCCATAAGCTGCCATTGTCATGGCAAGAGCATTTATAAAATTGTCACTGACACGAGTAACCGAGTAAAGTCTGATGCCAGATCTTGAGAAGATCAAGGGGGAAGTAGACCCTAAAAGAAGACTCGGCTCCAATTTCAGGTCATGATCCTAGGGGGTGGGGGGAGGGCTCTACTCACTTGAATCCTTGTGGTGTCACGATGCACTTGGAGTCATGTAGACACGGGTTCTGGTCCTGAGGACAGAAGTTCAGCTTCTCCTCACACAACTCACCTGTAACACGCAAATGCCGTCAGTTTACTGGGAAATGTTAACAGGTTTCCTGCCTCTAAACTATGCAATGAGTCAAAAAGGTTAGTGAAGATTATGCTTGGGGAGGGGGGGGAACCCCAGAAACGAAACCACAAAGCATTGAACCAGAAGATCCAATCCTGGTTCTGCTGCTAATAAGCCTTAACATTTTGGGAAGTTTAATCACAGCAATGTGGTCTGTGATTAATCTGAACCTTTTCAGACATGCTCTTAGAATGAAGAGGAAATTCGCATGCTTTTAATTCTGTTTGTTTTAATCCTGTTGTTTTATTGTATGCTGCACTTTAAGTATAGCATATACACAAAGCTTAAGCTCACAGTTAAGTAGTATTTATGAACTGAAAACATTTAGTGAACTATATAAAAAATACACCACTTTCTGAATATACATTTGCTGGAATTTGACAGGCTTCCTTCAGACCACTCCCCTTCACATTATTAGCTCCCTAAGCGTGCTCACTCTGTTGACAAGAACATAACATGGTTGTGGAGATTTTTATAAGGACATAAAGGGAATCATCCTGTATGTACCCTTCTTATTCTCTTCTTTTATGTTTGAGTGGGGGAAAAGTCTTCAAATTCTCATAATCTCTAGGGTTTTGTCAATCTAGAAACAAAATATTTCAGTATTATGAATCACTGAAACAACTTAACAGAAACTTCCGTAGTTTACTCCATAAAATAAGGTGCAAGAAGAATAAGTGAACTAGAAGAAGGGCAAACATTTTGTCCTGTGATCAAGTAGCCTATAAAGAATCCTTTTATCTGTACCTGAGAGCTAAAAGCATGAAATATGAGCTCTGGTGGTTCAGTGGGGAATCGCCTGGCTCCTAATGGAAAGAAAGTTGGTGCTTTGAATCTACCACCGACTCCTGAGGAGGAAGACGATATAGTCAGGTTTTGTAACGGTCCATAGCTTTGAGGGTCCTTTGAGGCATTTCTTACTTCAAATAAACTTGATAGCAGCTGAGAATGGTATAACACGATAGACTGCAGATATTCTATGTTGAGTTATGGCTATCACAGGTAATTTCTTCAGAGAGCAGTACTGTGGCTATATATTGACCATACCATGAACTGCCAAAAGAACGAACAGGTAGGTCTGTCCTGGACAGGGTGAAGCCAGGCTGCTCCTTGGAGGCAAGGATCTTGAAGGTCTGTCTCATATATGTTGGGCATGTTGCCAGGAAGCACCAGTCCTTTGGGAAGGACATCATGCTTGGAGGGTAGAGGGACAGCACAGAAGAGGAAGACCCTGGATGAGATGGTTTAACATAGTAACTGGGGTAATGAGGGTCAGTGTGTCAGAGGAAGTGAGATTGGCTTAGGATAGTGTAGAGTTCAGAGCTATTATACATAAGGTTGCTATGAGTTGGAGTCAATTTGATGGCACATATCAACAACATTAGGCAAAACAAAATTTCCATTAAAAACCAATTTTTTGTTCTTGCAAAAGCCTATGGTATATTCAATATTGTTGAACAACCACTCAAAGGCATTGAAAGAGGCATGTAAATGAACAGGTTCATCTGTTTAATTTTTCTACAGGCTAGTACTTTACGTTCAGATTGCATATGTCAATAGGATAAATAAATAATTGTAAACACAAATGCTTGGTGCTGCTGGAACACTTAGTTGCCAGCTTCTGCTAGTTCTCCTCTCTGAAACAAAAAAATTTCTCATTCTCAATACACGAAGATAGCAGAAAGGGGCCTGAGTTGACAGCTTATCTGTATTCCTATACCAACTTATACTAAACCAGCTTCCTTATTTTTTAAAAGGTAAGGATGATTAAAATTAATAATAATTAAAAGTGATTATAGAACAGCAATCTGAATAAACTAAAAAGAATTCTGGTGTTAATGAATTAAGGCCTTCTCAAGTATACTTGTCATAAGGGAGGGTGTCCAGTTGAATTCCTGACAGCATACTTTGGATACAGAGGGCCAATTACACTATTCTTCAAAGATTTGCATCTTGATCTTTTCCATGGCTCAAGAAAAGCCTGACTAAATGGTGTTACTGAACTTGAATTGGCACAAAAAGGGTGGGTTAAATAAACCATCTGATAAAATGAATGAGACTTAAACTCTTAAGAGAAAAGATCAAGTTACTTTGACTTACAGATTTCTACTTCTCTATGCCCACTGTCGGTAAAGTGATTTTTTTCTCAACTGTTAACCAGATGAGCTCTGGTGGCTTAGTTTTAAGGGACTGAATTGCCAGTGTAAAGGTATATGGTTCAAATGCACCATTTGTCCCATAAGAGAAAGATGGGCAGTCTCCTCCAGTGCAATCTAACTGCCTCTAAAAACCCACTGAAGGGTCAGCTATGGGTCAATTCCAACTTGACAGCACACAGTAGCAACAACAACTAACCAAGTGGTTGGTGGTTCAAATTCAGCACTGCAGGAGAAAGGCCACCTGGTGTGCTTTCACCAATGAAAGAATTTTTCTTCTACTTTTCAAAGAGAGGAGTGGCCTGAGGAGTGGGGGGCAGAGCTGGGCAGGGAGAAAAGTGCAACAATGAATGAATGAATGGAAATCCAAAATCTCTGTAAATGTTCATTAAAATTAATAAAATCAAATTTAAAAAAAAAAGATTACAGTCATAGAAACCCTGTGGAGCAGATGCACTTGGCAGCACATGGGGTATCCATGAGCTGGAATTGATCTGATAGATTGTTTTTCTGTTTCTTGGGTTTTTTCCCCCTGTTAGTCCTATTGCATGAAATAGCAAAGTTCTTCATACAGGTATTCCATAATTACTGAAAATCTGAATCGCAATATTTATTTGTATCTTTCAGCAAAAATACTTTTGAAATGCTTACAAAGGAGCCTCTGGTGCCATCAAGATCAACACAAAGGAGGGGAGAAAAGGCAGGTAACTGGCAGCAGATCTGTGTTCTGGAATCTCAGCCTGTTTTCATGGGAGCCCTATCGATCCCCAGGTACCCCACCAAAATTCCAGATGAAGACTGGCCAGCCCCATGGAACCCGCAGAAGACAGGTACAGGAACTGACATCATGCTCTTGGATGCTCTGAAGAGGCTCTTGGTAGCAGATTTTTCCAATGCAATATGTCTTATGATTTTTTGATTGCCAGAAACATGGGTGTTGATTAGGGATCAACCTGAAATAAAATCTCTTAATATCTTTAATCTTTTCCCATCTAACGTGATGATGTTCAGTGGTCAGGAAGGGTCAGCATTTATGTTTTATATCTGAGAAATGTTAGGATGACTGAAACGGAATGTTTTATCATGCCCAAATTTAAAAAAAAAATTCACTCCAGCTCTAACTTCAAAAATATATATCTTTCTAATGTGTTCATTATTTACGTAAAAGAAGAGGTTTTCTTTCCTTACACGTGCCTTGCAATCAATCAAGGTAAATGGTAACAGGCAGCAATGTGCAGACACAGATGATGAGAATATGGTACTCAGCTCAGATCAGGGTTATAGGATTATACTTGATAGAAAAAGCATTCCTGTTTTCTCTTGCTGGACCAGGGCGATGCTATTTATCACCTGCATTATTCAAGTCTGTAGCCCGAAACCAGAGGATATTAACACAGGTAGATGCCAGGTCTCCAATCTGAGCATTGAATATCCCTCAGTGCTTGTGATGGTTTTTACTGGCTTTTTAAATTGCTAATAGGCTGTTTTAACCCCTTCATTTTTCAAAATAGCTAAATTTTCAAGAGGATATTGCAGAACAATACGAAGGCTTCTTTACCCTCCCTCCGATTTCTTGAAATTTATCCCATCAACCGTTTAACCTCTAAAATAACCCCTAACTTAACTGAATCCAGTCCTAACTACAGAATGACAGGTGACTGATATTCCAGGGTTAGGATTTCATTCAGGTAAATCAAACTAGTTACTGGTGAGTCAATTCCACTTATTGTGACCTCCTGTATTTCAGAGTGGATCTGTGCTCCACGGGGTTTCCAATGTCATCTTTTCTGAGTTTAGTGTCAAGACTTTCCTTTAGTAACAGAGCATGTAACTCTTGATGGCTTCAGGGACTCCTTTACGTTAGAGAGTTATTGCTGTGGGACTTTGTGTTGGTCCAGTCTCATACAGACCCTATAGGACTCAACAGAATCTCTCCACAGGATTTCCTGTGATGCTCCAATAAGCTCACTGCTCTTCAGCAGGTGATGAATCACAGCAACCCTCCATCAGGTCTTTGAGGCTGTAAGTCTTTATGGAGGGAGCAGCTAGTGAATTAGAACTGTCTAGCTTTTGGCTGGTATTCCAACACACAAGGCACTATGCCACCAGGTGCATTAGTGTCTTAGAGTCAGCTCCCATTCACAACAATCCCATGCACAGCTTATTCAAACCAAGTGCTACCTTCTCAATTTCTGCCGTCCTGGTGTCCACTGCTGTAGTCGAAATGTCAACTTATCTCATGGAGGCTCTTCCGCTCCTTCTCTCTTCCTCCATCCTTTCAAGCACAATGTCTCCTCCTAAGGACTGGCCCCTCTTGATAGTGCGTGCAAAGTATGTGAGACATAGTCACCCCTCCTCTAAGGAGCACCCTGGTTGCCCTTGTAAAGCAGATTTCCTTGTGCATTTCTACAGTCAATACTCTTTGCTAACAGTGCAACTCAGAAGTGTTGATTCTTTTCCGGTCTTCTTTATTTTGCAATTCAACTTTTACAAAACTGTGACACAAAAGAAAATACTATAACTTGACTCAGGTGCAACTTAGTCTTTAAAGTCACTTCCTTAAATCTGACACGAGATTTGGTCAATACAACACACTTTTTGATTTCCTGATTGCTACTTCCATGGGTGTCAACTATAGAGCTGTTGTTGTTGTTGTTATGTGCCATCGAGTCGTCTGCGACTCATAGCGTCCCTATGCACAACAGCCCCAAACCCTACTCTATCCTGCGCCAACTGCACTGCCTCTGACACACCCATCCCAATTATCCCAGTCACTGAACC